CCCCCCCGTGGGCTCAGCTCCGTCCCCTGGGCTCAGCATTGGCCGCTTTGCCAACAAAGGACGCTAATTGGCGATAAGCTGCTGCCCCGGCTGGGCAGGTCTTTACTTCTAAATAGCTTTAAACAGCTTTTCACCGAGGGCTGTCCGTAATAGCAACGATTCTCTTATTGCTGCGGTGAACTATGGGGTGGTGAAAGCGTTTATTTGGCCCTGGGAACAGCAGTGAGTGCCACCTACTGCCTCTGTGTGCCGGAGGCAGCGCCGTGGAGACTCTCCGAGAGGGAGAGACCCCCGCTCTCTCCTGGGCTCGTCCCGTTTCTGCTCTCCTTGAGCAGTTCTGCACTCCCTCTGTGCTGAGCTCAGCTCCTGCTCCCATCTGAGCTGCTCGCCTTGCGTTGCTGCCCGCCTGCCCTTTGCATGCAGCCTCCCCTCCGCGTGGAGCATCTCCACCCCGAGCGCCGTGCAGCTCTTCCATTGCAAGCCAGCAGACAGCAGCCACCCTGAGCGCAGGAGAGGAGGAGCAGCTCCTGCCACATCTGCCTTCAGCTGTGCAGGAGAGCTGAGGGGAATCCGAGCATGGCTGCTGGAGGGGTTGATCAGAGGAGCAGATGGGAGAGGAGAAGCTTTGGCTGCTGCTGAAGGCGCTGCTGAGTGTCAGAAGCAGCACAAGGAGGGAGAGCTGAGGGTTGGGAAGGAGCCCGAGGCGCAGCCTGCAGCTCTGTGCTGGGATTGCTGCGCTTTGATTAGGAGGAGAACCAGGGCTTTAATTGAAGCTGGTCCGATTCTGCATTCGGAGCGTTGAGTGCTTTTAATTAAAACCAGGACCAACGAAGCCGCCTCTCCGCTGCTGATGGCAGCGCTTCCGCAGGCCCTGCGTTTTTCTGCCTCCAAACCAATGGGTCCTGGAGGTGTGGGCAGCCCCCCCCCATCCTTTTAGACAACGTTTCTGTTTATTTTCTGCACAGCTCGCAGTGGGAGAAGCGCAGTGCTGACCCTGGCATCTCTTAATTACTGCCGCATCCTCCCTGGCCGTAACCTTTGCGCAGTGCCCTGCTCGCTAATTAACAGCTGCCAGCACCCAGCTCGGAGCTTTCCCAGGTTCCCACCCCGGTGATTTAGGGCTGCTGAGCCGTTTGTCCCCATCCAGGCTGTGGCTCTTCAGGTGGCGGCAGGCAGCGTTGGGGCAGGCTGTGATTTAGGGAGATGCCGAGGGCCATCAATCAGCGGAGGCAGCGCGCCGGCCTGGCCCGTTCCTGGCACCCGGCGCCAACAGCCAGGCTGACTGGGTCGGTTTTATGGACGGGAGAGGATTTATTGTTGCAGGCAGATAAGGGGAGAGCAGAGAAGGCGGCACACCCAGCGGGGCGGCTGAGAAACAAATGCAGCCTCAGTGCCCTCCTGGGTGGAAAAGCAGAGCGTGGCGCAGGCTGGGCCAGGTCCCTCTGATGGATCCCCCTCCGTCTTGCAGTTCTGACCCCCAGGGTGGCTCTTTCCCCCCATTCTACCCTCCTGCCTTTGCCATCCGGCTGTGCTTTGCCTCCTGCCCCTCTGGCTGCCTTCTGGTTGCAGTGTGGGGCAGCAGCACCTCCATGGGAGCGGAGGGGGTCCGGCCGTGAGGGGAGACCCGGCGTGCCTTGCTGTGCTGATGGGCAAAGCTGCTCTCGTGGCAGGCTGTGCATCGAGGCCGAGCTGTTTGCAGAGCTGCTGCCCGTGTTTGCTCCTGAGCTGGCTGTTCTGAGTGCTCAGATTGCTGTGGCAGAGGCCCTGGGGATGCAAAGGGGGCGCGATGGCAGCGTGGCCCCGCGCTGCCCCTCTCCTTCAGGCTGGGTTTCTTCTGGCCCTTCTTATTGCGGTGTTCTCTGAGCCGCGGCTGCAAATGGGGCGTTTCTGTTGTGTTTGCTCTTTTTTTGTTGTTGTTGCACTTCCTCTGCAGGGAATGGGTACTGAAGAGCAGCATCCTGATAGCCATGGCTGTGTACACCTACCTGCGGCTCATCGTGGACCATCACGGCACGGCGCCGCTGCAGGCGCTGCGTCAGAAGGAGGTGGATTTTTGCATCTCCCTCCTCCGGGAACGGGTGAGCAGAGCAGGGCCCTCCGTCTGCACCCTGTGTTCCTCCAGCAGCGCTGGCAGAAGGCTGCGCTGCTTCCTTCGGGTCCCTGCAGCACGCAGGCAGCTCGTGGTTCATCCCCACCGAGGCCGCGCTCCCGTTCCGTGTCCTCGCCCCATCCTTCGCTGCCCGCCTTCCTTTCCTCCCTCCGGGTTGAGAGGGACCGATGTCACAACCCCCAGCTTCAGAGACTGGCTGAGATCCTGGAGAGAAAATGTCAGATTTATGGGGCCGATTGTTTGCTTTGCAAGAGAGGGAACGTTTTAAAATAGCTGCTGACCTTCCCGCCTGTCAGCCTGCCTTCTCCCAACCTGCGGGCTTCAAAGAGGGGCGCTGTGCCAGGGTAGGGGTGGACATGTTGTGCACAGGATGAATCATCTGCCGCCGGCCTCAGCCTGAAGGACTGCGTGTTCCTCTCCCCCCCCTACATCAGGTGAGCACTCAATGCGATGGTTTTTTCCTCTCCTTTCCTCCCCCCCCCCCTCGCAGTTCATGGATTGCTTCATGATCGGCCGCGACCTCGTGCGGCTCCTGCAGAACGTGGCCAGGATCCCTGAGTTCGAGCAGCTCTGGAAGGACATCATTCACAACCCACAGGTGCTCAGCACGCAGTTCACAGGTGGGTAGGGCTGTGCCTTGGGGGGGGGGCTGAGCCCATCCTGCCCCACTGATCCTGGCCCCAAAGCTGGGGCTGCTGTCGAGCGCAGCGCCCTGGCTGTGCGCAGAGACGCCGCCTGGTTCCACCTCCGTTGGTGCTGAGGCCCACGTGGCTGCTTGCAGAACCCATTGCCAGGGGGAAGGAGGTTCCCCCAGGGCCGGGGCTGAGCAAAAGCCTCTCTGCTCTGGCACTGCACGGCTTCCGCCACCGTCTTAAATGCTGCAGAAGCCTCCTAAGAGGCGTTTGGGTTCCAAGCCGTGCTGAAAAGCGGACAATTCAGACAGCTGAGCAGGCAGAGAGAGTGAGAGCACAGCCTGCGAGGCAGGATCGCGTCGTTGAACGTTTCACTTTGCGTTTCGATCAGCTGCTTTATGAGCTGAGATGAGCAGGAGCACAAAGATGGGTCCGAGTTTCTCTCCAACCTGAGCCCCGAGGAACCCCAGTGGCACTGAAGCACAAACACAGCAGTTGATTCTTTGTGGATGGGATTCCGTTCATCTCAGCAGCTTCCACCCAAACGCTCGGCTCGCTCAGCGCTGCCTGGGTTGGGGTGGATGTGGCAGAGGAGCGTTTTATTGATGGGTCTCACTGCTATGAATTATTAACCTCTCTCAGGGCTGCCACATCATTATCTGTCTGCAGTGAGCCCTCAGATGCGGGGCTTTAAAGTGGTTCCCCCCCCTCCCAACCCCAGCACCCGCTCTGCTCCCTGGGGCCGCATTAACGCCATGTTAAAGACCACAGATTGTGCCCAGGGGAAGGGGCAGCGCTGTCTGCTGATTAAATGCTCCTCCCTGCAGCTCTTTGGCTGCTCTTCCATCTCCAGAACCCCTCCTGTCGGTTCTCATTGACTGCCATGCTGCCTGGAGGCCGCAGGGACAGCATTCCCCTTTTTGGGGTCTCATGGGGGCTTGCAGGGGCTCGGCCCCAGTGCTGGCTTTTCTCACCCCTGGATCTCCCCTGCATCCTGCCTGTTTTATGGGGCACCTTATGGGCATCCCTGCTGCTTTGTGTCCCTTCCCACGTCAGCAGGGGCAGCCGACGGCTCCCTGGTTTGCTGCACTTGGAGCCCAGTGGCCCCACTGAACGATACTGAATGGGGAGCTGAGATCGGTGCCCCCAGCTCCTTCCTTCCCTGCTGTGGCTTTGGCCTTCATTCCCTCGATCCCATGGTTTGTCTTTGCCACCTCTTTGCCTGGCAGCACACACAGCAGACCCGAGGAGCCGTTCTGCAGCTCTTCACCCTTTCCCCCCCCGGCTCTGCTGCACTCTGCAGTTGCCCCCCTGCAGCCCAGCAATGTGAGCTGTGAGCAGGCTGAGCGCTGCACAGCTCCGGCGCCCGCCTGTCTGCATGGAGCAGCGTGCTGTAAATCCTTCAGGTCCCATCCAGCAGCAGCACAGCCTCCAAACTCAAGCCATAAATTTCTCCTCTTGCAGCTGTTTGGGAACGAAAGCGGCTTTTGCAATCTCCCCTCCTGCTTCCCCTGCCTCTTCTCCATGCACGTGAGGCTTTTTCTACATCCGAGCGTTGCAGCAGGGTTGCCTTCACACCGGGGCTTCGTTGCTGCAGAGCCTGGAGGATTCTGTGAGTCCTCCAGCCCTGCTGAGTGCTGCACCTGAAGCCCTGCGAGGAGCAGAAGGGATCAGCGGGGGGGGGTGGAGGGGGAGGCATCGCTGTGCTGCCTCCCTATGGGTCGGATGAGGAATGCTCCGTGTTGAGGCTCTGCATTCCTTCATCCCTCCTCCAGATCCCGTTCTGCTGTGCTGCACCCACCCCCCTCCTTTCTCACTGCTGCTCTCTGACCAGGCTTTCTCTGGCCAAGGCTTGTTCCAGCAGGGCCATTCCCAGCCAAAATCACCATCTCTCTCCAGTCCCAGCGCCTTCAGCCGTTGAAGAAGGAAACGCTCTGAGCTGAGCTCCCCCCTGGGTGCATCCCTGCCTGGGCTGTGCAGCCCTGTAACCCCGTCCATCTCCCTGCAGGTGTCCTACAGCTCCTCCAGTCCAGGACCTCGCGCAAATTCCTGGCGTGCCGCCTCACCCCCGACATGGAGACCAAACTGCTCTTCATGACCTCGAGGGTGAGCACAGCACCTCGCCCACCCCCCCCCCCCATGGGGACGGGGGGCACCCCAAGCAGAGCCGGGCGCTGACGCAGGGTGGGCTGAGGGGAGCTCTGGCTGCTTTGCAAGGCCGAAAGGCGGCTCTGCGGTGGGTTATCAGAGCTCTGACAGCAGCGGTGCTGTGCGTGAGGCCCGGGAGCTGCTCGCTGACAGCATGCAGCTCTTATCTGTGCTTACAGCCACGCAGATCCACCCCGTCTGCTCCCCCCTGACCAGGCTGAGCGCTGCTTGCAGGCCGGGTGGTCCCTGCTAAATCCCAGAGGGGCTTTTCAGCATCCCCTGAGCGAAACCCACGTTTTGCCTTTCCCCTTCAGGTGCGGTTCGGGCAGCAGAAGCGGTACCAGGACTGGTTCCAGAGGCAATACCTGTCCACCCCTGACAGCCAGTCCCTGCGCTGCGACCTCATCCGTTACATCTGCGGCGTGGTGCATCCATCCAACGAGGTGCTCAGCTCCGACATCCTGCCTCGCTGGGCCATCATCGGCTGGCTGCTCACCACCTGCACGGTGAGTTCTGATGGCCCTCGCTGCTCCCGCTGCCCTCACAGCCCCACATCTGTGATCCCCAAAGTCCTGGGAAGCCGAGAGCCGTGGGATCCCATCCCTGCCTTGGGGGTTGACCTCCTGCCGCTGTGATTTTGGGGGTCAGGAGCTGCAGAGCAGCGATGACATTGGGCTGTTGCATGCTCTGCATCCCACCTTTGGCCCTGCCACACGTTAGATCCTTTGGGATCAGCTTTCCCAGCTCCACCTCCATCTTATCACACCCTTTGCTTTTGCTTTACGTGCTCAGATGCCTCTGAGGTCCATGCAGGAGCAGGAGGCCCCTTCACCCATCCCTGCCTTGGGGGTTGACCTCCTGCCGCTGTGAGTTTGGGGTCAGGCAGTGATGACAGCAGGCTGTTGCATGCTCTGCATCCCAGCTTCGGCCCTGCCACACATTAGATCCTTTAGGATCAGCTTTCCCAGCTCCACCTTCACAGCATCACAGAATTGTAGGGGTTGGAAGGGACCTCCAGAGATCATCGTGTCCAAGCCCCCTCCCAAAGCAGTTCCCTACAGCAGGTCACACAGGTTATCCATCTTATCACACCCTTTGCTTTTGCTTTATGTGCTCGGATGCCTCTGAGGTCCATGCAGGAGCAGGAGGCCCCTTCACCCATCCCTGCATTGAGGGTTGACCTCCTGCTACTATGAGTTTTGGGGGTCAGAAGCTGCAGGGCAGTGATGACATTGGGCTGTTGCATGCTCTGCATCCCACCTTTGGCCCTGCCACACATTAGATCCTTTGGGATCAGCTTTCCCAGCTCCACCTCCATCTTATCACACCCTTTTGCTTTATGTGCTCGGATGCCTCTGAGGTCCATGCAGGAGCAGGAGGCCCCTTCACTCATCCCTGCATTGAGGGTTGACCTCCTGCCACTATGAGTTTTGGGGGTCAGAAGCTGCAGGGCAGTGATGACATTGGGCTGTTGCATGCTCTGTGTCCCACCTTTGGCCCTGCCACACATTAGATCCTTTAGGATCAGCTTTCCCAGCTCCACCTTCCATCTTATCACACCCTTTGCTTTTGCTTTACGTGCTCGGATGCCTCTGAGGTCCATGCAGGAGCAGGAGGCCCCTTCACTTCTGCTCAGGAATTTCCCCCACCTGGTCTCAAAGCTCCCCCACGAATCAAATCTTGATCTGTTTGGTTTTTCTTCCTTCTCCAGTCCAACGTTGCTGCTTCCAATGCCAAACTGGCTCTGTTCTACGATTGGCTCTTCTTCAACCCTGAGAAGGACAGCATCATGAATATAGGTACTGCGGGGGTCGGAAAAGGGGCTGATGGCTTTCGGAGCTGGCAGAGGCCGTGGGGTTGGAGAAGGGAGAGCCCAACACTTCATCTCCATCAGTCTCCTTCCACGGGTTCTCCAGCCCATGGGGGGCTGCTGTGATGGGCCTGCTGGGGTCAGCAGGAGCCCAGTTTGGCTGCCTGAAGTCTGGTTGTTATTTAGGAGCCGGATGAGAGCCACGAGGAGCCAGAAGTCCCCTCTGCACTTATAGGGCAGCAAGGAGGGGGCTGTGGGCATCCGTGGGGCTCTCAGCACCGTGCTGCCTGCTTTCTCCCACCAGAGCCTGCCATCCTTGTGATGCATCACTCCATGAAGCCTCACCCTGCCATCACCGCCACGCTGCTGGATTTCATGTGCCGGGTGAGCTGCTCCCTCCATGCAGCTCCTTTTAGGGGCTGCAGCCGCATCCCCTCCCCACCTTCTGCTGGGTGCCACCCCCAGAGCTGCACAGCCTCCATCTGCAGGCACCGCCAGTGCAGCACAAACCACCAAGCAGCACGGCTGCTGCTCCAGGGCTGCTTCCACAGCACCAAATTTGGGCCCACGTGTCCTTCATTAGCGGGAACACACGTAAAAACTTCCCAGCTCTGCGAATCGACCCTTCCAGAAGGACGAGAATTAGGAAAAAGGCTTCTGAATCGTTCCCCTCTAGCAGAACCCAATGCAGTGTTTGGCCCAGCGTCGTCCCCCGGGGGTAAACACAATGTGGATTCGATGTTCCCCAGCCCAAGCCATCCTTTCATCCTCCCTTCGTCCTTGGGCAGGACGTGGGGCTGTGCCCCCCAAGGGCTGCTTCTGCTCATTGCGTCCCAGGGAGAGCTGATGGGTTTCTTGGAAGCAGAATCGCAGAGCTGCGCGTGTCCAACGGCAGCAGCTGACTCAGGATCTGGGTGGAAGGTTCTCGGGCTGAGCCTCATTTGGAGGAGTTGTTTTCTTCCCTCCAGAAGCTGCGTGTGGACGGAGCAGAACGTTGCCCACGCTCCCCTCTCTTATTCCCCCTCTCCTGCAGCTGCTGCTTGGAGCACAGCTCTGCCTCCGGGGCCTTTTGCAGCCCCTGTGTGGTTTTCTCATCCCTGGGAGATGCCCAGGCTGCTCTGCAGGGCAGGGAACCGAGCATGGGCTGCTCCTTCTCCTGCGGTGCTGCTCTCAGCTCTGCCACCCCTTTCAATCCAGAGCAGCGGGGCTCATGGCAGCACAGAGCACTTGGGGTTGGAAAAGACCTTTAAAACCAATCTCCTGCAGCTCCCCTGCAGCAAACGGGGGCACCCACAGCTCCATCGGGTGCTCAGAACCCATCCGGAAGCCACAGCCTCACTGGGAGGCCGCAGCCGGAGCCGGCTGTGTCCTGGAAGGCACTGATGCCGTCGTGTTTTCTCCCTTTCAGATCATTCCCAATTTTTACCCCCCTCTGGAAGCTCACGTTCGCCAGGGGGTCTTCAACTCCCTCACCCACATCGTGGAGAAGCGCGTCCTCGCGTAAGGCATCGCTGGGTTCTGCTGCACGAGCGCCAACCTCCCCGGCTCTTTGCTCTTAGCAAACCTAATGGGAGCAGGAGGGCGAACCCCCAGGGCTGCCAGGGGTTTTTTAGGGGGGGGGGGGGGCGGCTCCGGTGGGTTTTGCCCTTTGTGGGGCTTCGGCTCCGCAGGGAAGCAGGGGCTGCGTCCCGGTTCTTCTTCATCGCCTTCCTTCCACAGCCACCTGGCTCCTCTCTTTGACAACCCCAAGCTGGACAAGGAGCTCCGAGCCATGCTGAGGGAGAAGTTCCCAGAGTTCTGCAGCTCCCCCTCGCCCCCCATTGAAGGTAATGAGGAGGTGGGGAGCGAGGGGGGGCCGCAACGGTGCTGTGCCAGAGCACGGCTCTGAGCTCCGAGTGGGGCTCCAAGGAGAGCTTTATGCCCGTGATCTGCCCTCATCTCAGCCTTGTCCTCCCTCTGCTCCGCGGGAGGTGCTTCCCCTCCTGTCTCTATGCGCTCCTTGATCGGCCTTAATTAGGTTAAACGAAGAGCGAGCGTTTCTACCCTGTGTTTAACCAGAGAGAGCGCTGCTGCTTTGCCAGCCCTACCGAAGGACGGTGCCTTGTAGGCTGTCTGCTTTCCCCACAGCATCACAGCACTGCCCACCCCCCCAGCAGCCCCGCGTGGTGCCGAGCTGCTCCACGCACCCTGCAGCACGTGGCCATGAGCTGCGTTGCTCACCCCAAACCTCTCTGCCCTCTGCGGAGCTCCTCAGCAGTCTGGGGGTGTAGGGCTATGATTCTCGCTTCGGGTGCGAGAGGTCCTGGGTTGAAAGGGGCCTTATTTATCGATTGGGGCCTGGTAAGGGAGGAGATGAGAGCAGCGGAGCTCTTGGATGATTGTAAGGAATGTATTCCTATGCATTCGTATTAAGGGAAAGGAGTCTCTTCCGAAACTAGAGAATGATGACTGGCAGGGAATAGGGAGAGGTTTAGGAAAGGTTTTAGAAGCGTGGGGACCCGCGGTGTCGTGGGATTTTACTCTCGAACACCTGTGGGATCCTGAGAAGGCAGTGTTTGAGTCAGGGCCGATGCGGCTTACATAAATCTAAGGAGGTACAACTGATTTGGGGTTTGGTTTGTGCTTACCGTGCCCTATAGGGCCCTATAATACCATTCTGAAGAGCACCCCCCGTTATCCCATGACTTCTGTAATGTACAGGGATAGGTAGCTGGGATTGGGGCAGTGACACTTGAATGCCCCGTACACTGCATGATGTTTGGATGTGGAACACTGAAACCATAAAAGCAGAACCGTGACACCTGGGATGAGCTGCGTTGTTCACCCCGAACCTCTCTGCCCTTTGCGGAGCTCCTCAGCTCCCCCAGCCCCATGCAGCCCCCCGTCGGCAGAGCCGGGAGCCGGCCGGCCCCATCCTATGTGTGGCCTTCACTCCCTTTGCCTTTGTGCCCACAGTCAAAATTGAGGAGCCCGTTTCCATGGAGATGGACAATCACATGTCAGACAAAGATGACAGTTGCTATGACAACGCCGAGGCCGCCTTCAGTGATGATGAAGAGGACCTGAACGGCAAAGGTGAGAGCTGCAGGGCATGAGCAGCAGTGCTGGAACGGCCCCAGGCAGCATCCACCAGCACCGCCTCCTGCACAGCAACGACTTTCCCCATCAGCAGTGCAGATTCCTGTGCTCCAAGCAGACCTGGATCTCAAAAACCAGATTGCCTTTTGCAGGAGGTGCTCAGCCCTGGGCTCTGCACTCGAAGGAGAGTCGTTGGCCTCCTCTGCTTGCATGGCGCTCTGCCCCATGGCTCAGCACCGTCCATCATAGAATCATCGAATCACCAAGGCTGGAAAAGACCTCCAAGCTCATCCAGTCCAACCGTTCCCCCATTCCCAACACTGAACCACGGCCCTCAACACCACATCCAGCCTTTCCTTCAACACCCCCAGGCTCGGTGCCTCCCCCACCTCCCTGGGCATCCATTGCAGTGCTGACCACCTTTCTGACCAGCAATTCTTCCTCATGTCCAGCCTGAATCTCCCCTGCCGTAGCTTGAAGCCATTCCCTCTGCTCCTATCCCTGATGACACGAGAGCAGAGGCCGACCCCCAGCTCACTGCAGCCTCCCTTCATGCAGCCATAGAGAGCAGTGAGCTCTGCCCTGAGCTCCTCTCCTCCATGCTGAACATTCCCAGCTCCTTCAGCCTCTCCTCATCAGCCCTGTGCTCCAGACCCCTCACCATTTCATTGCCCTCCTTTAACACGTTCCAGGCCCTCAATGTCTTTCTTGCAGTGAGGGGCCCAAAACTGGACGCAGCACTCGAGGTGCGGCCTCACCAGTGCTGAATAGAGGGGAAGCTCTCACCACCCCACAGCCCCCTCTGGATGCCCTTCTGCTCCAGCACCCGGCTCTGTGTGATGAGTGCAGCACAGTCCGTGCCGTGGGTTCTTTGGGAGCAGGCTGTCCCTGTTCTCAGGCAGCAGCTGCTGCTGAGGCTTCACTCTTCTCACTGCTCGCTTTTCATTACGCTCCGTGAGCCCCTCTGGAAGCCGTGGGGCTGAGCAGGGGGCGCAGGGCTGGAATCCTTCTGCTGGCTCCCTGGGGTTGGAGGAGGCATCACCAGCAGGTCCTGATCCTGGCAGTCAGGCTCTGGGGGCTTCTGCTGTCCTGTAGGCAGCAGGGGGGGGTCCACAGCCCCAGGATGCCTGCAGTTGTTGGGGCTCGGGGTCGGAGGCCACGTGCAGAGACTCCTGCAGAGGGGATGCCATCGTTTGCCCCATTCCATCCTCGCAGCTCCCCTTTGCGAGGGCTTCTGGGCTGTGCTGCAAGTTTACGACCCAGGATGAGATGAGAGAGGGCGTGGGGAAGTCGTGGATGCAGGCAGTGAGCAAGCTGTGTGTGTGAGCACATGGAGATGGGCACAGCATCACTTCTGGGCCTGGGCTGAACGGGAGCACAGCTCTGTGCATCCCTACGCCTGCATCCCAGGCTGCCTTCCCGAGCACGGGCACCTCGCAGGGGTGAAGGCAGGGAGGCTGCACCCTGCACTGGGAAACCCCTCGCCATCCCACAGCGCGGCCCCACACCGCAATGGGGTCGGCCCTGGGTGCCCCTGAGCTGCATGAGATCGCAGGGACGCTTCCTTGGTTGCAGGGAAGAAAAGGGAGTTCAGGTTTCATCCGATCAAAGAAACCATCGTGGAGGAACCCGTGGACATCACGCCGTTCCTGGACCAGCTGGACGAGTCTCTGAAGGACAAAGTGCTGCAGCTGCAGAAGGGGAGGTTGGTTTGTGATGCTCCGTGTCGGCGTCTTTGGGGCAGCCAAGACCTCATGGTGCCGTAATGCAGCCCTGCTTGCTGCTCTCGGATCCAGCAGAGCCCTGCAGGTTCAGACCTGGGCGCAGCAGCGCTTTCTGCCTCGGTGCTGGGAAGGCAGAAGGGCTTTGGGCTCCCGTGCTGCTGGCAGTGGGGGCTGTGAGTGCATGCTGTGCCTGTTCCACGTATCTGCACGTTCCCCAGCCCTGCTCTTGGATGCAACCTTGGAATTCACGCCACCTGAGGAAGGCTCTGTCAGCAGCTCTTGCTTTTCAGACCTTGGCTGCTGTTACCGAATTGACGGCTCGTGGCTTTTGAGTGCATTTCATCTGATGCTTTCAGTCATTCCATTGGTTTGGCTTGCTCGGGCCGTGCTGGAAGGAGCTGTGCTCCCCCAGGGCTCCATCTCTGCGTTCTGTGCTCTGTAGCTGTGCCTTCCTGGCCCCAAAACAAGGCCTGGGGGGCTCCCAAGCCGAGCCAGCTCAGCGCAAAGCCCCCTCGCCCTGCACTCTCGCAGTATCTTCCTTTCTAACTTGGATTTCCTCTTGTTTTTCTGCTCCAGCGATACGGAAGCTCAGTGTGAGGTCATGCAGGAAATCGTGGATCAAGTCCTGGAGGTAAAGGGCTCCGCTTTGCCCTCTGCAGGGCTGAGCTGGGCGGGATGGCAGCAGCGCTGCACGGGAGCTGGGGGCCCTGCTGCTGCTCAGCCCTGCGGTTTTGCAGCTCCAGAGCAGCTCGGCGTCGCTCCCAGCAGCGCTGCTGCATCCCCATGCAGGGGGCGAGCATCCCTCCCTCCTCATCCTCCCTTTCTCCCCCCCCAGGAGGACTTTGACTCCGAGCAGCTATCAGTGCTTGCCTCCTGCCTCCAGGAGCTCTTTAAGGCTCACTTCCGCGGGGAGGTTTTGCCAGAAGAGATCACAGAGGAGTAAGGATTTATCCCTCTCTGTTTCATCCTTTCGCCCCGGGGCTTTGCCCAGCGAAACTTGCTTTGTTTGCAGAGAGCTGTGCTTGAAAGCAGCAGCTCTGCAGGGCTCACAGGAGCGCATCTCACAGCCACGGCGCCAGGGCTCCCTTTAGGCTGCCCAGCCTGAGCTCTCGGTGCCACGCTCACAAACCAGCCCTCTTAGCACCGTTCCCCTCATTTGGGGCTGAGCCCTGGGGTCCCACAGCTCTGCCCCCCCTTTGGGGGAGCGCCCACAGGGCTCTGAGCGCCGCCTTTGTCCCGCAGGTCTCTGGAGGAGTCGGTGGGGAAACCGCTCTACCTCATTTTTAGGTCGGTCTGCTCTCACAATGGCCCAGCCAGTGTCCCATTCCCACTGTGTGTCCTGGCCCAATATCCCACATCCCATCCCCAGTGTGTGCCCCGTCCCCTATGTCCTGGCCCCAGTTTCTGTCCCA